TATTAAATATTATAATCATTATTATTGTTCTATTAAACATTATAATCATTATTATTGATGTTCTATTAAACATTATAATTTATAATAAAACATGACTTTAATCTGTAATATAATCTATAACATTACAGTTAGTGACATCTTTTAAATCACTTCTAGCACGCTGTTTAATGTCTCATATTTTACTAGTATTATTGTTGTTATCATATATTATTTATGGGTATTTTATTCTTTAATTTGTATATTTTTAACTGTTGTTATGTTTATATATATATATATATATATATATATGAGTGTAACTACAGCTGTGAAATAAAAACACTTATACATGATAAAGTGTATAAAGTACAATATTTCCCTCTGGAGTGTAATTATGTTATATGTAAACTGTTCAGCTCTTTTTATTTTAAAAACATATGTGACATAGATTTTACATTTTAAACCTTTTTTTATTTTATATTTACGTACAAAGTGTTTATTGTTACGCACCAAAATACCAGAATACAGAACTCCTGGCAATAAAACAGATCAAAGTACAAGTACCTTAAAATGTAACTAGAGTACAACATGTCGGTTTATAAAACCTGGGAGTTTAGACTTTATAATAAAGTGTGAGAAGAGGCTTTACAGTACCTGCAGTACCTCCAGTCCCTCATGTGGTGGCGCTCTCTGTGTCCTGCAGGCAGACGAGTTGGACTACACCTTTAAACGGCTGGTGGATGGACTGGCTCACACACGAGAGGCTGCCAGACCTGGATTCAGCCTCGCTCTGGGGCAGGTGAGTGGAGACCAAAGACCGGTTTTACCCTCAAACCCACAATCCCGAGACAGGCCAGCTGTTTCCTCTGTGAGAGTGGAGTCGTTTTCTCATCCAGCTGTCGACAATATGAGCAGTGAATGAGCGTATGTCCCAAAATGAGTTGATAAATGTTAATTCACAGTTACTTAATACATTATTTAGATGTCACCGAATTAGCTGGAATCCAGTTTAATGGAACAATTCAGATCAGATCAAATCAAAATAACAACACATAACCGGACAGATGACAAACAACAAGTAAATGACGTACAAGTGTTGTTTTAAATGTTTAATATGCCACCAGTAAGGTTCAGTGTGCCTGAGAATGTCCATAAATAAATAATAAGTTGTGCCCAAACTGGCTCAGTGCATTCGATCGGCCTTTCTAAAAGGACCTGTTCCCATAGAAATATTAATATTATTGTAATCAAACTACATGTTGCTGCATTATCCAGTGGTATTTATGTCACATTTATAAGCTAGGGGCTGCATTACCCTTCAGGTATGTATTAAGACGTATAAAAAACTGTCTGCTTGGAACAATAATGTGTCTCTAATGTGTTTTTTTCCACAATAAAAGTATAATTTCCACATTAAAACCCTTTAAAAAGTAATCTACTACTACTATATCTATGAAATATTCAAATCTTGTTCATTTCTAAAGTTCCTCCACTGTAAAGTCCATTCTCAGTGTCTGTGTACTGGTGGATCTCACTGTAGAAGCTGCAGTTCTGACTTTAATTATAATCTTTTGTTTCCATATTAACAGTCGATTGTCAGACCTCTCAAATATATCGGCTCTATCGTGACCTGAGTTTGTTTTTCAGGTCTTAAGTTCCTTTGAAGACGTCTCTTTGCAGAGTGTACTCATCAGAATCAGAGAGAAACACAATCCGCAGACGGTGAAGAAGGTGAGTGTCTGAATGTTTTTCTCCGTCGGCTCCAGAAGTTTGAAGAACTTTAAAACTAAAACTTCTTCTTCTTCTTCCAGAAACTGCTCAGAAATGCTTTCTTCGGAAACATGTTCGGTGTCCTCGCCCTTTATCAGTCCGGACGCCTCTCTAAAGTAAGTAGTCTCACCAGGATTTTATTGTTTTTAAAGGGACTAAAACAAACTGGCTGCAGCCAAGAGCTAAATCTACAAAATGGGGGACAAAATTGACATTTCTCCTTCTTTCTTCAGTATTTTCCTCCTGTATATCCGTCATGGAGCCTACTTTAAAGCTCTTTTTGTCCAGTAAATGTCTGATGGTACTCACACTGTTTCTGAGGTTGGAGTCGGTGTCGATTGTATAGAAGGATGCTTCAGTAGAGCTAAAACAACAGATTTTGGGGGTTAATATGAGCCTGGAAGCTCATTTCTGCTTCCGAGCTCCCCCAGCAGGTTTTGTAGTCTGGTATAATTGTGTGATTAATGGTTTGTTTGAAACTACAGCTGCGCTCTAATGTCTGTGAAGGTTGTTGTGTGTGTGTGTGTGTGTGTGAGCTGCAGTGGTGTTACGCTCTCTGAGCTCTGTCTCGTGTCTCTGCAGGAGCCGCAGGTGGTGTTGGGATGTGTGCAGCTCCTCCAGAGTCTCAGCCAACAGAGACAACACCTGAAGGACCTTCCCACGAAGACCATGATGGACATCCTGACTGAGGTGACCACTGCTGCTCAGTTATACACCTTTAAAAACACAGGACCAAACTTTAGAACCATAACACATACACTAACATGTACGTGCTGTCTGTCAGATCCCAGAGGAGGTGTTTGAGGAGGTCCTGTTCAGCGCCCTGCAGGCTGACCTGGCATCAGCCTTCAGGACTCCAGAGCAGCTGCAGCTGCTGCTGGTCGCGCTGCAGCGCTTCCCGCAAACCCTCAAACCAAAGAAACTGAAGAAGCTGCTGGGCTGCTCGACCATCATCAACGCCGACAACATCCCCAAGTATGAAGGCCGTGGTTGGATAGATTGGTTTCTAGGTTACATTTAACCACATTGTGCTGATGTTGGCTGATGTTAGCTCCCTCATTAACAGCTGCTGCAATCTGTGATGTTGTCCCACAGGCTGACGGAGGTGTTGAAGATGGCAGCCCGCTCAGTGAAGAAGGAGTGCGTCCTCCCAGCGGTGGTTCTGGACCTCCTGAAGCTCTCTCTGAAAGAAGACAGCTTCCAGCTCTTCTGGAACAACGCCATCATCAACGGCATGTTGAAGGAGCAGCCGGGACCAGCACAGTGAGTAATCCTTGAGCCCGTCAAAGTGCGTCCACTGATAGACTCAGGTTGTTAT